CTCAGCACCCCAACAGGACCTGCCGATATGATGGCTGTGGTGTTGATAAAACAATTAAAATTGGTAAAACAGAGACAGCACCTTTAATACATTCAATTTATTATTTTATTTATTCGACAAAATCCCCCCTGCAAACTTCTCAGATTTCTAATGAATTTAGGCAAATAACTCGCCTGGGATTTCGAATAAGTGAAAAGGAAGAGATGAAAAACCGGCATTTCAAATTCTCATTTATGCCGCCTCATCACCATTCACTTTTTAAGCGATCCTCAGATGACGAAGGCATCGAAAGCACTGACGGCGGGTGGTCGTTGTTGTCACTTGCCACACTCGGAATAGTTCCAGATGCTTCCGCTTCACACAAGGAGCGAATAAAGAGGGGATTTAAACTTTCGGTCTTGATTTATACTTTCTGCTAATAAAATTGACACGGCATAGTCATGGCACAAATTATAAAACAAACGGTACAAGAGGATTACCTTAGTTTGCAAGACGGGCAAAATTATTAGTGAAATGGGCAGATTGACATCCACAACGAAATCCACAAAAGAATACAGCGCGGGGCCGCCAACCTTTTTGCCTAGTAACTCACGGATTATTTTGGCGACTCGCGGCCACAACATCACCATTTGCTTCTCGAACGCAATCATCATCACCTTTAGAGCTGTAATTTTAACAAAAACATGCAACTCCCTGCAAACATGTTACAATTCTCCGTAGTCAATTACGTCTTGATCTATAATTCCTAAAATCAGCTCTAAAGATTTTGAAAATATGTCAGCTGCTGATGTATAATAAATAGCGATGCGCACCACGGCAGCTGGTGTGGTTATGCGTTTTGTGCAAATCCACCCACCGAATGATTGCCTGCTAATGACTTCCAGTGCTTTGTACTTTGGTCTGTACAAAAGTAGTTGAATTGCTGTCTGGTTCCTAAGTTGAGGAATTTCTCACTAAAAATTTCATGCATTGGTACGAAAGCTGAATTTGAAACCTCGAAGGATGAATATCTTTTTAAAATTTCAAACTCCTAATTTTCTGGCTTTCGAGTTATTTTTTCGACAAAACTCACACGTGGCCATACGTGAAAGCTCGGAATACTTAAAAACTGAATGCGAGTTTGTAAAGATTTGCCCCTGCTTAAGCAGGAAATAACCTCCCGAAATTTTCAGCCTCGTGGCTCTTCTTGTTCCCGAGACAATGATTTTTTTCGCCAAAACTTCGACAGGGGGTTGAAAATTTGAGGAGTCGTACGCGGGCAGGGAATACCACGCTAAAATTTCGGCTTTCTAACTTTCGTGTTCTCGAGACAATGATTCCTCTACCAAAACTTTCACGGAACTACGTGGTACCCAGAGGAGTGTGAAGGCTGAATCCAAATTTGTGGGAGTCGTACATTAATAGGAGGCATCACCTTAAAAATTCAGCTTTCTAGATTCTGTGGTCCTCGAGATAATAATTTACCCGCAAAAAGTTTCGCCAGGCCGCAGACGACACCCGAGAAGGCAGGAATGCTGGGTTTGAATATGCGAGGTCATACGTGGGCAGAGAGTCACTGTCCTAAAATTTCAGCTCCCTAAACTCGCTGGTTCCCGAAATAATAATCTTCCCGCCAAAATTTTCACGGGGCCGCATATTTTGCCCGCGGGAACGGGAAGGTTGAATTTAAATTTTTTGGATCGCATATGAGAAGAAATGCCAACAAAATTGTAGCTTCCTAGATTCCGTGATTCTCGAGATAATAATTTTCCCGCCAAAACTTTTACGGAGCCGCACGTATTACCAGCGAACAAAAGAAGGCTGAATTTAAATTCGCAGGGTCACACCGGGGAAGGGAATGTAACCGCAAATTTTCAGCTTCCTAACTTTTATGGTTCCCAAGCTAAAAATTGCGGACAAGTTGCTGCAGACACAGAGCTGCACAAGACGCATAACAACTGCTAATATCCACGTCAATCTTTCATCTGCAACAAGCTTCAGTACTAGATTTTCATAGAGATTTGTTAGCTGCATAATTACGCAGACTAGAGTTATAATATTACAACTATAATAACTGTAGCGCCTGGTTTTTGTGACTTCTGGGACGAGACGACTCTATAAAAGTAAAGAATCAGTCGAAAACGACGGGAGTTTGATTTAGTTAAGGCGTATCTAACAATTATAGCGGAAAATGAAATCACCCAAAAAAATAGCTTGGCAAACGGTTTCTCGAACAATGCGGTAAGTTGAAACGGTCGCTGAGTGACCACGTTCCGTCACTGATACTGAACTTTGTCGTCCACTGACATCTAAAACAAGCGTTGATCAACTGAGAAAGAATCATTCAACATGCGGTTATGTTCAGTACACGTTGTAGACGGGCGTCTATAAAACAGTTCACAAGGGATTCCCGACAGTTGTGAAACCTGTGTCAGTGGCGGGCCCATCTTCAGCAAAAGCAGTTTTTGGCTTTAAGACTTATCAAATGGAGCTTATTTTCCTAATAATTAAGAACAAAGGCCCAGATTTACAAAATTCAAAGTCGGGCATTGTTTGCAGTACTCCTAGACTTATGGGAGAAAAACGCGGAGTCCGAAAGTCTAACTGTAGGAGTTTAATTTATTAGTGCCCCGAGTGGCACATGCAACGTGGAGCTTGCTTACAGCAGCTAAGCCAGAAAACAATGACCTCATCGTTGTCCGTTTTAATGCAAGAAAAGTTTTGCCTTCTATCATTGGACACACAAACACACACATACATACATACATGCATACATACATACATACATACATACATACACACATACATACACACATACATACATACATACATACATGCATACACACATACATACATACATACATACATACGTACATACATACGTACATACATGCGCACACACACATTTGCACGAATGCCGATCTTGCATTAAACAGATAACGGCAGATAAAAACATCACTGTTATTAAAATTTGACAAAAGTTGGGTGCAGACCGTGAGCATTGGTCCCCCGTATGAGAGATGTGGCGAGATTCGTACTGGTCACTGGTGCTAGACTTTGCTTTGCCAACGGAGGGTTCACAGCATTCTGCATCAAATTGAGACAAAATATGAGATCCTTTAATTGGAACTGAGGAGTATCTGCAAGCAGTACTTTTAAATTATTTCCAGTGCATCCAATTTAAAGCGAGCCAGCTGTAATCGCTCGTGAATTTTTTCGAATCTTTTGGGTTTATTTGAATAAGGAAGACAGTTTCGAAAGAATAAGCAAAGTTACCTTTCTTCGATGCTGCGGCACGGAGGAAAAGAGGAATTAAAATATGGCACAGAACGGCCTCTAGCCTTTCGGCCGTTGCGCCGATACCTTCACCGCTGCACAAATATTCCAGAGAAAATGCTACCTGAAAGAAGCACTATGAATTTCATCTCTAATCAAAATAATCGGAACAACTGTCTGCAAATTTTAAGGAAGTTGATATTGTCGAAGAAAAACGACAGCAGACCTGTCCGAGAGCTTGCATCAGGAACGACGCAAGCTTGAGGACAGAATTGCAAAACGCTTGTGGTGGGCAGCTGCCATGCAGCACAGTGGACATTGCAATACAGGATTGCGTGGATAGGTCGTCGCTGCAGGGATCGCCGACCATTATTCGCAGGCACATTTGCGTCATTGTCTGCAAAAAAAAGAGATGGTACTTCACTTTCGATCACTTTTGTTACGTTTTTGCAAGATATACAAAACCCA